AAGACTGTGGCTGAGGAGGAGTATCTCAGAAGCTGTACAACTGTACTGGATTGAAACTCAGAAGAGGGTCTGTTGGAAAAATAGTTATTACCTATATTTATCCTAGAAAATTCACATATTCATACTTCCCTGGGTCTTTCAGATGGGCCCACAAAGCCTCACTTGGCTTTATTTCTTGCCAGTCCAGCATTTGCCAGGTATAAGGCTTTCCAGAAAAATTCACATTCTTCAAGTTTGAGAAGCATGACAGAGTCCATGCTCAGGGTGGCATGACTATGATCAGGAAATGAGAGCTCTTGAGTTACTGCCAAACCACCACTCATGGACAGAAATCAGAGTTTGAGATGCCAGCCTCTGTCCCCCTCCCCCCACTCTTCAGCTATTACCATTGCTCATTGGACTAAGCTGTGTAAGGGAATTGACCTCCCAGAAAATGGCAGTCATATATGCTGGATAAAAATAGGCTTTTATGACCTATGATTTTCCTTTTATAGTGTGGGTGTATGTGGTTCTGTTTTTTCTTTTTTTTAATTTTAATTTATTTTTGTTAGATGTTTCTCTTTTCCCCCCACTGAATCTCCCCTCCTCCTCCCTCCCCGCCCTGTCCCCAGCTTTGTGGTCTATGTCCATTGTTCATACATACATCATATAAGTTCTGTGGTTTATCTCTCCTTCCCCACCCCCTCTTCTGGGCATTGTCAATCTGTACCCCGCTTCCATGTGTCTGGGACTATCGCTTTTCTTTTTAAACAGTGCGTCTTAGTGGTCATTCACTATCATGTCTACTCCGGCGTGCTGTTTTGTATATCGAGTTTGATTTTAAATTGCTCTTGTGCATTGGGTTGTCTGAGGCAATGGCTGGCTAGTCAAAATGGAAACAGTTGATTCAGAGCCACTTAACTATGGCTTGCACAGTTAAATTGATTCATCCCTTTATTTTACTGTTCAAGACTACTTTTATAAAGTATGCTTGCCCTGACCGGTTTGGCTCAGCAGTTAGAGCGTTGTCGGCCTGCGGTTCATAGAGACCTGGGTTCGGTTTCCGCTAATTGGTTGCGGTTTTTCCCCGGCCCTAGTTGGTCGGTTGGGTGGCAACCACTTGATGTGTCCCTTTCGCGTCGATGTTTCTCTCTCTCTCTCTCTCTCTCTCTCTCTCTCTCTCTCTCTTTCCCCCTCTCCCTCCCACTCTATCTGAACAAAAAGTGGAAAAATGTTTTTGGGTGAGGATAAGAAAAAAAAAGTATGCTCTACTGTAATAGGAGTCCTCTGAGCGAGGGTAATTAATCTATCGATGTATCTGTGTTGTTGCTCTTCCAGTTATCAACTTAATCATATTTGTTTTCTAAAATGTAAAACAGAAATGTAGAACATGAAGGTAATGTAGTTTCTGTCTCATAAAATAGTTGATAGTGCCCTGGCCGGTTTGGCTCAGTGGTTAGAGCGTCAGCCTGTGGACCAGAGAGTCCCGGGTTCAGTTCCCACTAAGGGCGTGTACCTCGGTTGCGGTTTGTCCTCGGCCCTGGTTGGGTTGTAAGGGTGGCAGCCACTCGATGTGTCTCTCTCACATCGATGTTTCTCTCTTTCTCTTCCCGTCTCTCTCCCTCCCGCTCTATCTGAAGATAAATGTTCTCGGGTAAGGGAAAAAAAAGTTGATAGTAAATAAGGGTTAGTTTTAGTCACAGATTTTGTGAATTTGCCAGAAAGAGTAATGTTAATTTCCGTTAGTCATAGTAGGGATTTTACTTCAAATGAGAAAATGTATAAGATACTTGGTTTCTTCAGGTTTTTCCCTGTAGGTTCTGAGGAAAGAATGTCCCAGAGCCCTGGCCTGGTGTGGCTCAGTTGGTTGGAGTGTCATCTTGTACACTGAAAGGTCTCAGGTTTGATTCTTGGTCAAGGCACTTATTCAGGTTGCAGGTTTGATCCCTAGTCGGGGTGCATAGGAGAGGCAACTGATGGATGTGCCTCTCTCACATCCATGGTTCTCTCTCTCTCCTTTTCTCTCTCTATAAAATCAATCAAACAGATCCTCAGTGAGGATTTTTAAATTTTCTGAGGAAAAAGGAATGTCCCAGAGATTCACACTTAGATAATTAAACCCTGAGTGAGGAATCCGAGGATTAGGGAGGAGAGGGAGGATGTTTGGAGGAGTGGAACACCAGTAATTACAATGGAAGAGAAACAGGATGTTGATTCACAGGTAAAAAGCTAAGCCCTGACCTCCTAGTTAGATGAATGAAAGCATATCTGGCAGATAATCCTAGGGCTGAAGCTAAGTGTGGGCCTGGTGGAAGATTTCCTGCAGGGCATTTGCCTATGTTGATTGAGGACCTGGGCTTTCAGAAGGTGATGCTGGGATAGGGGTTGGGTGGGGAGATTTAAGGGGCAGGAGTTCCAAGACATGGAAGACCTGGAACCTCTCAGGAACCTAATGGGTTTGGAGTTCACTGGGAGAATGCCTGTGGCCTGTTGTTAAACAGAGTGTCTGGTGTGGCGCTCAGTCGATGAAGCCATATGGGAGAGAAGTTACAGGACATCTTCTGATAGGGTTCTTTGGTTTTGTTTTGTTTTTAAATATGTTTTTATTGATTTTTTAGAGAGAGAGGAAGGGAGAGAGAGAGAAAGATCAATCAGCTGCCTCCTGCACGCCACTGGGCATGTGTCCTGACCGGGAATCGAACTGAAACCTCTCAGTCCATGGGACAAAACTCAATCCACTGAGCCACACCAGCCGGGCAGGAGGAGTGCTTTTTAAGAACTGGACAGACAGGTAGTTAGGGAGGGTGGGGTGCCGGGCTACTGCTGGTCCCTCTCCCCTTAAGTCTTCACATTCCCTGTGTCAGGACCGAGCCTGGGACCCACTGCCACCATCCCTCAAGACCCCCAGTTCTCACCCTCTAATCTCAAGTTCTGACTCTGGGCCCATTGCCACCATGAAGTTCTCTTTATGGACAGGAAAAGTTCTCTTTTCCTCTTGGGGGTTCCTCCATCTGGGCTGAGTTGGTGTTGATCATTTCAGCTGTCCTGGGTCATTTTTCTCTCCCACATTCCCTTAGGCGCAGGCCAGGTGTAACACTCCTTCCCGGAAGTGCTTCATGAATACTTGATGTGTGATTCATTTTGGTTATGTCCTTTTGTATTTCATGGGGCCTGGCCCATAGGTATTGTTGAACAGGTTAGGCCTTGTTTAGAGCTGAATCAGCCCGTTTCAGTGTGGAGATGGTTTAGGAGTTTAAGGGTAACAGTAAATATGACTGCTTATTGATGGGTAACCACTCAGATAAAGATCAGAGGGGAGTTTGGTCTCTGCAGCTGAGCCAGGCCTGGAGAAAACTGGGTTGCCCATTTGCTTTGTCCTCTGATGAGGCCATTGTCCTGGCTTCGGGGTAGCAGATTCTGTGTCTGATGGGTTTTGAAGGGTGGGGCCAGCACGGTGCTTCTGGTGACATGCCCCTTGCAGTTCTTTGCTTGTGCTCACTCCAGGTGTACTTGGTGTTGGCAAGAGTCTTGGGATTGGAAAGGCAGTGAAAGGAATTTTATAGACGGGGCCAAGCGATGGGAGTATGGGGGGAAGTATGACATTTTAAGCCACTTGGCAAGGGAAGGGGGGATTCTAGTGATTGGAAATGACAGATTATGTTTGGTGTAACTAAATCAGAGGTGAAGGGATAACTTGCCCAATTCTGAATGTCTCATGCACGGATGAGGGAGCTGTGCGCCAGCCTGTCCGAAGCTATGAGTGGGTGTCCTGAGACACCGGTGCACGTCAGTTCACACTTTGCTTGAGGATGTGGCTGTGGGTATGTTCTTAGCCCTGACCACACTGGTGGTTTGTTCAGGACCTGAAGGAAAGGTCCCCTTGTGTGCTGGGAGCAGCTCCTCTCCTCCCCTAGTAGGGCAGGTGCTTGCTCCAGTGAATGCTATGGTCACCTCTTCACAAGGAGCTAACTTGAAGGCTCCTCTGACCTGAGCCAACCCAAGATTTAATGCTGGAAAGTCCTAAAAAAGAGTGAGAAGAGCTTGCTTCAGGGCATCGGCCCCCAGACCATCAGCTGTCCCACCCTGTCATCTGAGGGTGGCCTGGGAGGAAGTGGTGTCAGCTGCACAGCAGTTCCTCTTTCTGCCGAATGCACATGCACCCTTCAGCCGCTCTCCTCCAGCAGGGCAGTGGCGGGTCTTGGTTTAGAGCAGTGGTCCCAATACTGTGGTCCAGCAGATTTTGCAAATGGTTACTGTAGGGGAACACAGAGATGCCTGCCTGTGGCCATGTTGTCAGTGGCTGCTTTCACCTGTGAGTGGATGCTCAAAGCTGCTCTTTTCCAGGGGCTCTCCAGGTCAGCAGTCTTTCAAGTCCTCTAAAGGAGCTGACGACTGCTTGGCACCAAAGGAGGGGTCTGTGTGGCCAGGGTGCCAACAAGCCACCTTGAGCACCAGTGCTCTCACCAGGCCTTAATTAAGCAGCTCTCCCCACAGTACTGAGCACCCAGAACATTCCAGTCTGGAATTGGTAGGATGTGGGTATCTTCCCTGTTGGTATCCTGGGCTTGACTTTGACCCTACCCACAATTTAACTGGCTGTGTGGCTTGGGGTAAGTTAAAGTACCTCTAAGTCATGGGAGGCATTGTGAGCACTAAGGAAGATGATGAATGGAACACCTGCCCCTCCGAGAGCTTGGAGCTTGGTTATTGCAGTCAGTACAGTCAGCTCTTAGACATCCTTATTTTACGTTTGTACTACTTTTAGAAAGAATGTACCAAGAATGCCCTTACTGGAGTAGCTAAGTGGTTAGAGCTTCAGCCCATGCACCCAAGGGTCTCAGGTTTGATTCCTGGTCAAGGGCATGCACTTGGCTTGCAGGTTCAATGCCCGGCCCTGGACAGGGTGCTTGCAGGAGGCAACCAATCGATGTCTCTCTCTCTCACATCAATGTTTCCCTCTCTCCCCTTCTCTTCTTTCTAAAAATCAATGGAAAAAATATCCTTGGGGGAGGATTAACAAAAAGAGAACATACCAAGAATGCTTTCATCTCCTCCTCCTATGATTTTGTTATTGTCTCATATATCCTCACTGGCTCACACAAACCTCATGGTGTCTCTCCTCCCTACCCCCCAGGCTGCCTCTTCAAGCTCCACTCAGAGCCCCTGGCTGGTCTAAGGACAGGCCCTGGAGGGCCAGTTCCTGCAGCAGGCATTGGAGCCTATGCCCTGGGGGAGGGGCAGCCACTGAGGTTTCTTAGCAAGAAACTGGGTGCCTTCGAGTTTGGTGAACACTGCTCCAGAATTCCCATGCCATCCTTGTGGGTGTTGGGGTAGGCATCCGGGAGACATCAAAGTAGGGAATGCACCTACTGTCTCTCCCACAGTTGTGTTCTGGTGGGCTCTGGTTTCCTCAGCATGGCCTTCAGGATCTTGGCCTGCTTTTGCAAGTCAGCTTAAGTGGGTGGTGATGGTTCTGGAAGGATGAGCTGGGCCAGCCATTCATTGCGCATAGACAGGCTGAGCTGTGTTTTCAAAACAGAGATGTAGGTGTCCTAAGTGCTTGGCAATCCTTGTTATTTATTTATTTATTTATTTAAAATATCTTCTTTTTTTTACTGTGAGTAGTAGCAGAAGCCATTACAAACCAAAAAGCATGACAATGAAATAGAACACACAGTTTTTTTTCTTTATTGATTTTAGAGAGAGAGGAAGGGAGAGGGAGGGAGAGATGGAAACATCGATGAGAAAGATTATCGACTAACTGCTTCCTGCCTGCCCCCTACTGGGGATCAGGCCCACAACCCGGGCACGTGCCCTGACTGGGAATCGAGGTGGTGACCTGTGGGTGCATGGGTCGATGCCCAACCACTGAGCCACACCTACCGGGCGAACACACAGTTTTTATTCCGTTTTCTACACAAGAGGTTAGGAGCGGCTGAGGGAGCAGAGGAGCCCCAGGCCTGCCCTTCAGCCCCAGAGAGAGGGAAGGTGGACTCTGCACTGGATCTGCCAACAGGGCCAAGGTCAGCAAGAAAGCAGAGGCCACGTGGGAGTCCGCGGGGCGGTGGCTGTGGAGACAGCTGGTGGTGAGGGCTCAGTTGCCTCGGGAGAGCAGTGGCCCAGGTATGAACCCCTGGCCAGTGTCCTGTCTACAGTGTCCTGCCTTCCAACTTTGAGCAGGCTGGTGTCCAGGGGGACTGGAGACTGGCCCTGAGGAGGCCTCACTCCCAGGCTGGCAGAGCCACCTCAGAGTGTTTAGCCAAGGACCCTGGGTTCTTCCAACTAGGGCTTCTGCCCTGAGCAGGGGAGGCAGATCATGTCTCTCACCTGTTTCTATCTCTAGTTGATTGTCTAATGCCAGCAGTTTTATTTTAAACACCCACACTCCACTGAGTTAAGTAACATGACATCTGCAGGGGATTCATGTGCAGGTGTTCTGTACCGGAGATGTCTCTCGAGAGGGAAGTACCTGAGAAAACTGAGTAGATGGATGTCCCCTTGCCGTGTGACATAAGAGGGTCCAGACCCGCTGAACTGAATGGGGCCCATCTCCACCATTCCTAGAGCTTGGTGGCACCCCTTCAGGTGAATTGGAGCCACATTTGTTCCAGGAGCCTCACGGGTGGGGTGTTTGCTTCTGGTGAGCGTCCTTTGAGTCGCATGTGTCATCCTAAATTCTTTTTCTGTGTGTGTGTGTGTGTGTGTGTGCAGATAGAGAGGGAGGGAGGGAGAGAGAGAGAGAGAGAGAGAGAGAGAGAAACATCGATGTGAAAGGGACACATCAAGTGGCTGCCACCCATACGACCCAACCAGGGCCGAAAACAAACCGCTACTGAGGTACGTGCCCTTAGCAGGAACTGAACCCGAGTCTCTCTGGACCACAGGCCACCGATCTAACTGCTGAGCCAAACTGGCCAGGGTTGTTTCTAAGCTACATTGAATTGTGTTCGTCTGGGCTCATGGCCCTAATGTCTAAGGGGTTTTGTTTTCAGGGGAGGTGTCCAGGGGCAGCGCTGAGGGTCGGAATGACCTGGAGCCCTTGATTTTCCTTTATTCCCTGAGTGTGCTGGAAGGTTTCAGATCTCTGGGTGCACACAGGGCATTGTGGGGTCTCCTGAGAGAAAACTAAGTCAGAACCAGCTGGCACTCGTGCACGTGTGCAGCATGCTGGCTGTATGAGGTCCCAGCCCCGCTCTGTGCATCTGGTACCTGGGACAAGCCTCTGGTCTCTGGGCTTGCTTCCTCATTTGTAATTGGTGATGTCTACCACCTCTTGCTGGTCAAGGATTTGAGAACCTGTGGAAAACAAAGCAGAAGAGAGAGCGTACGTGAAGGTTTTATTTGCAAATTCGAAATGGATAATTTCAGAATAAAAACTATATGTCTCTAATCAGGTAGATTGCGAATGTTTGTGCACAGAAAGAAAATCCGAGGTTTTTGCCTGTAGATTTCAATGGGAGAAATTTGACAGAATATATCTCGCTTTTAACTCAGGACACCCAGCTCTCCTAACTTCAGGTCTCTAGTGGCTATCCCTTTTCTGTTGCAACAACGTAGTGGTCATGTCCATTCCTTAGTGCCTTTGTGGAAATCCGGAAGTGATCGAAAGGAGCAAAGTACAAACGCTCTATAAAGGAAACAGAGCTGGAGTGTGACATGTCAACAGAACTATTTTCTGTTTAGAATCTTGCACAAGAGCCTGACATTCTCGACCCTTGTTCCTTGCCATTTTCAAGGCCATATGGTTGTGTCAGGGAGTGGCAGCTCTCAGGGACAAGTGGCCTCCAATTTATCCACGATGCTTGGCGGGGCAGTGCATTCGATTGTGCCTTTATAGCCTGGGGTTTACTGCTGGGCCCACGGGAGCACCTCGGTCTTGGGGCTGTTTGAGTGGCCCAGAAGCCTTACTGTGCCACAAAGCATCTCTGGGCAGGCTCAGAGGAGTGATGGGGTGGGGCTCCCTCAGTAGTTCCCCGCCAGGGTTGTCTTTACCTCCCTCAGTTTAGGGACCCCAGGTCAGGGGTCTCCTGAGACACTATGTTATAGGGACTCCACCCTGCCTTTGCCCAGCAGCTCCTCCTGAGAAATGACTTCAGGCACCGTGCGCTCCAGGCTGTGGCCAGGGGCTCATCTCTATGTGTCCTGGCAGCCACTCTGCTCAGGCTCGAAGGACCCATGGCCCAGGATTCAAACTTCCCCTGGAGACCAGCAGCTTGGCTCTATCATTGTGGATTTCCACCAACACACTAGGAAATGGATGCAACCACTATATATATATATATTTTTTATCCTCACCCGAGGACTTTTTTTTTGCATTTATCTTCAGATAGAGTGGGGGGTGGGGAGAGAAACATCGATGTGAGAAAGACACACCAAGTGACTGCCACCCACATGACTCCAAGCCCAGAGACAAACTGCAACCGAGGTACATGCCCCTAGCGGGAACCGAACCTGGGAGTCTCCAGTCCGCAGGCCGATGCTCTAACCGCTGAGCCAGACTGGCCAGGGCACCACTATTTTCTTGTAACAGAAAAGGGATGGCCACTGGAAACTTGAAATTAAGAGGGCTGGGTGTCCTGAGCTAAATGCGGGATGTAGTCATCTGTCAAATTTCTCCCATTGAAATCTACATACAAAGGCATAGGATCTTCTGTGTACAAACATTTGCAATCAACACCGCCTTGGGCCCGTGGGAGTGGCATTCAGAGATTCAGCCAACCTGGAGCAGTGAGCCACCCCTTACTCTCCAGTATGTGGACTGAAGTGGGGAGTATGCTGGCTTCCATTAAATAGTCAAGAGTCAAGTCCAGCATTTCTCTTTCTTATCCGTTTAGGATAAATGTGGTATTTTTTGTTTGTTTTTACTATTTTTTGTTAATCCTCACCTGAGAATATTTTTTCTCTATTGTTGAAAGTATTACAGATGTTCCTCCTTTTTTCCTCCATTGACACCCTCCTCCCCACTCCCCCCCCCAAAAAAAGAAACCCAGCCTAGCCACTCTATAAATGTAGCACACGCGTGTTATGTGAGTCGAGAAAAGGACAGAAAGAGGGAGGAATAGGACAGATCTTAGTCTTGGTCCAGTTGCTGGCTGTATAAGTGTGAGCATCCCAAGTTTACATCATCAGGGTCTCCTTCTGGGGCTGGTGCAGACTTGAGGAGTGATGAAGTGACGTTAATGCAGCATGTCGACAGCTGTACCTCAGTCACACTCCACTTGCTAGTGTGGATATCACTGAGATGGTCCTGTCTGTATTTGTGCATCTGTGAGCCTAAGACTTCTGAATTTGGAATATTTTGTATTTCTGATTTTTTAAAATATATTTTATTTATTTATTCGAGGGAGAGAAGTGAGAGGGAGAGAGAAATAGAAACATCAGTGAGAGAGAACATGGACTGGCTGCCTCCTGCATGCCCCCCTCTGGGCATTTGGCCCACAACCTGGTATGTGCCCAGACCAGGAATTGAACCAGCGACCTCCTGGTGCATGGGTTGATGCTCCATCACTGAGCCACGCTGGCCTGGCTGTAATTATTATTATTATTATTTTTTAATATTTTTAAAAAATATATATTTTTATTGATATTTTAGAGAGAGAGATAGAAACATGGATCGGCTGCCTCCTGCATGCCCCCCAGTGGGGACTGAGGCCGCAGCTCCAGCATGTGTCCTGATCGGAAAATGAACCTCTCATTCCATGGGATGATGCTCAATCCGCCAGGCTCATGTCCTTCTTAGTGTCTGTCCTCATTTCAGCTGCATCTGGAAACTAGGCCTCATGGACTTTCAGGGTCTTGGTGTAGGGGCATGGCACTTCTTATAGAGGTTGAAATCTCCCCTCTCACGAGCCCAGTGGTGAGAACATAGTTCCATATGCTGCTGCCTGTCCTGTCCTAACCCTGCCATCTTGGCCCTGTTTCTTAATGAAGTCCATCCAATCAAAACAAGTCCACAGAATGAAGTAAGCCAGAGAGCACTGACATGACTGCACTGCTTTTGAATTTCTTTACGTGCTGCTCATCAGTGGCAAAGCTAGACAGGGTGTCTTGTCACTGGTGGAGGATAGTGTAGCCTTTCACTCAAGGCCACTTGCTCTTCAACATCTCAGGGTTCCCTGGTGAACCTGCAGTTCTGGGCCCAGGCTGGAGGGGCCTCAAGGCAGGTCTGGGACATGGGCTCTGTGTTACGCTCCTGGGAGGGAGTGCTCAGATCACATTGCTGGGACCAGTGTGAATGTAGCTGCTGAGCTGAGTGTCCTGCCCTGAAAGCCTAGTGATGCCTGGGCAGACTGGAGCTCAGAGAGTCCTTTCTAAAGCCCACTCTGGTTGTGTGTGTCCTTGTGGACTCCAGCCCAGCAGTAGGTGTGTCTGGAGTGACTGGCAGGTTCTGGATACCCGATAGAGCTGGTGTGTGTTCCAGGAGTGTGGAAGGGTGCTCAGCTCTGGGCAGTCAGGGTTCTGTTGTGCGTCTGAATGCCTGGCCCCTGGGCACCTCTCTCTAGTGTGCTCTCAGCCCGAGCTTTCTAAATCAGTGTGTTTGATCGAGTGTATCAGTGGCCATTTCAAGGTTTTCAGGGAAATATTTTTTATATTAAAAAGAGAACAAGGCCCTGGCCGGTTTTGCTCAGCGGTTAGAGCATCAGCCTGCGGTCCAGAGAGACCCGGGTTCAGTTCCCGCTAAGGGCATGTACCTCGGTTGCAGTTTGTCCCCGGCCCTGGTTGGTCGTGCTGGTGGCAGCCACTCGATGTGTCCCTTTCATGTCGATGTTTCTCTCTCTCTCTCGTTCTCTCTCTCCCTCCCATCCTCTCTCTCCCTCCCACTCTATCTGAACAAAAAATGGAAAAATGTCCTCGGGTGAGGATTAAAAAAAAAAAAGAACAAGGATTCCAGTGTAAAATTCACATGGATTTTAAAAGTAATCCACATAAGGCAGTGCTCACTCGATGTGTCCCTTTCACGTCGATGTTTCTCTCTCTCTCTCTCTCTCTTCCTCTCTCTCCCCGTCTGAACAAAAAAATGGAAAAAAATGTCCTCGGGTGAGGATAAAAACAAAACAAAACAAAACAAAAAATCGCCCTGGCCGGTTTGGCTCAGCAGTTAAAGCGTCGGCCTGCGGTCCAGAGAGACCCGGGTTCGGTTCCCGCTAAGGGCATGTACCTCGGTTGCAGTTTGTCCCCGGCCCTGGTCGGTCGTGTGGGTGGCAGCCACTCGATGTGTCCCTTTCATGTCGATGTTTCTCTCTCTCTCTCTCTTCCTCACTCTCCCTGTCTGAACAAAAAAATGGACAAAAAATGTCCTTGGGTGAGGATAAAAACAAAACAAAACAACACATAAGGCACTGCTTTAACTGACTCGAAGCTGCTGAGCCTCAGAAGGGACATGTAGTGTGTCCTTTGAGACGCCCCCCCCCCCCGCCCTTTTCCATATCATCCTCACATTTAGAGGCTCATCACAAGGCCAGTTCCCATGTGCTCTCTTTGACTCCCCATTGGTGTTCCTCTGCACCTGAGCACCGCAGTCCCCCCTGGTTCACTTGCCCTTCCCTCTGTCCCATCCAACAATCCCCCTGAGCTTCTTGGGCCTGGGTCACCTTTGTGTATCTTTTGCTGCTCAGCATACTGTTGGAACTCAGTAAACATCCTTCCCCTCGGCTGGTTCCCAGGGTCAAGCATGATACCCAGCTCATTGTTGTCATGGCCTTATCTGACTGAGGCTGGCCCTAAGCCTTCAGACCCTTGTGACAGGGACGCTCCCTGGGATGTTCTGAAGGTGGAAATGAGCCTCATCCTCTCTGATCTTTCCTAATTGATCCTCTGTCAGCTGTCTGTGAGGTAGCAGTGAGGTGATGAATAATTCCTGAGTTTGGTGATGTGCAAATGTCGTAGTTCAGCTCTTTTCAGACATTGGGTCTAGGAGGTAGCTAGCCAGGCAAAGCCTCCTAATTCCATGTCATGGTAGCTCCATCCCTGCTCCAGACCTTGGCCCCATTAAAGGAAATAGTGACCATTTTCACCAGTAGGAAAGCTGCTAGAGCAACATTCCTCCAGAAGGTGGACTGTGGGATCCTTAGGCATTGCCTAAAGAACAACAAGGGTCCAGAGGCTGGGAGTAAGGGGCCCATGGGAGTGTGTGTGACCAGTGCTTCCTTAGATGGAGGGGTGGGACACAAGGAGGAATCTGGGAAGTCAGTGTAGTCTGGACACTATGCTGGGAGTCAGGAAGTCCATCCACTGAGGGAAGAAGGGTAGCACATGGTAGCAGGAGACTGAGCTGAGTACAGCGTAAGGCTGTTTTT